GGGACAGGGTTAGGGACAGGGACAGGGGGACAGGGACACAGGGACACAGGGACAGGGACAGCCACTGCAGCCGGGACAGCGACGTGCCCAGGAGCAGGACAGAGAACAGGGCCGTGGTCAGGATCTTCAGCTGGTACGTCACCTGGGGGGACAGAGAGGGGACAGGGTTAGGGACAGGGACAGGGGGACAGGGACACAGGGACACAGGGACACAGGGACAGCCACTGCAGCCGGGACAGCGACGTGCCCAGGAGCAGCACCGAGAACAGGGCTGTGGTCAGGATCTTCAGCTGGTACAACCTGGGGATAACAGACAGAGAGACACAGTTAGGGACAGGGACAGGGTCAGGATCTTCAGCTGGTATGTCACCTGGGGACAGAGAGAGGGGACAGGGTTAGGGACAGGGACACAGGTACAGGGACACAGGTACAGGGACACAGGGACAGCCACTGCAGCCGGGACAGGGATGTCCCCAGGAGGAGGACAGAGAACAGGGCTGTGGTCAGGATCTTCAGCTGGTACGTCACCTGGGGATAACAGACAGAGAGACACAGTTAGGGACAGTGACACAGGGACAGGGACACAGGGACAGGGACAGGGACAGCCACTGCAGCCGGGACAGCGACGTGCCCAGGAGCAGGACAGAGAACAGGGCCGTGGTCAGGATCTTCAGCTGGTACGTCACCTGGGGACAGAGAGAGGGGACAGGGTTAGGGACAGGGACAGGGACACAGGGACAGGGACACGGGGACAGGGACAGTGACACAGGGACAGGGACACAGGGACAGGGACAGGGACAGCCACTGCAGCCGGGACAGCAACGTGCCCAGGAGCAGAACAGAGAACAGGGCCGTGGTCAGGATCTTCAGCTGGTACGTCACCTGGGGACAGAGAGGGGACAGGGTTAGGGACAGGGACACAGGGACAGGGACACAGGGACACAGGGACAGGGACACAGGGACAGGGACACAGGGACAGGGACACAGGGACAGGGACAGGGACACAGGGACACGGGGACAGGGACACAGGGACAGTGTCACAAGGACAAGGTCAGGATCTTCAGCTGGTACGTCACCTGGGGACAGAGAGGGAACAGGGGACAGGGACACGGGTACAGGGACAGGATCTTTAGCTGGTTTGTCACCTGGGGACAGAGGGACAGGGACACGGGGACATGGGGACAGGGAAACAAGGACATGAGGGACATGGGGACAGGGTCACGATGTTCAGCTGGTTCATCACTTGCGGGACAGAGGGACAGGGACATTGTCACAGGGACAGGGACACTGTCACAGAGATGGGGACACAGGGACAAGGACAGTGAGAGAGAAACACAGGAATGGGGACAGGGACACTGTCACAAGGACAAGGACACAGGGACAGGGACACAGGGATGGGGGACATCGTTACAGGGATGGGGACACTGTCACAGGGAGAGGAACATGGAGACAGAGACACAGGGCCACCACCATGGACCAGGACACGATGTCCCCACGTGTCCCCAAGTGCCACCCTGTCCCCTCATGGCCCTGAGATCCCCGATGGCCCCACACCCACCCTGTCCCCCATGTCCCCAGGTGTCCCCAGGGTCCTCGTGTGCCACCCTGTCCCTGCTGTCCCCACGTGTCCCCAGTGTCCCTGACATCTCCAATGTCCCTGAAGTGTCACCTTGCCCCTGTTGTCCCCCCTTGTCCCTTGTTGTCCCCAGTGTCCCTGACATCTCCAATATCCTGAAATGCCACCTGGTCCCCACTGTCCCCTGCTGTCCCCAATGTCCCTGAGATCTCCAACATCCTGAAGTGCCACCCTGTCCCTGCTGTCCCCCCGTGTCTCTGCTGTCCCCTCTTGTCCCTGTTGTCCCCTGCTGTCCCCAACATCCCTGAGATCTCCAATGCCACTCTGACCCTGCTGTCCCCCCACGTCCCCTGTTGTCCCCAACATCCCTGACATCTTCAATGTCCTGAAATGCCACCCTGTCCCTGCTGTCCTTGTGTCCCTGTTGTCCCCCCCTTGTGCCCCATTGTCCCCAATGTCCCTGAAGTGCCCCCCTGTCCCCTGTTGTCCCCCTGTTGTCCCCCTGTCCCCAGCCTCACCTGGAAGGTGGCCGCGGGCAGGTTGGAGATGGCCACGTACTGCAGGTTGTTCTGCAGGGTGTAGATGAGGGAGGGCACGGCCAGGCGCAGGGTGTCCCCAAACTGGCCCCAAACCGCCTCGTGCAGCGTCACCGCCGTCTGCCGCACACTGCCTGGGGGGACAGGAGTCACAGTGTCACCAAATGTCCCCAAATGTCCCCAAATGTCCCCAAACAGCATCACCGCTGTCTGCTGGACACTGCCTGGGGGGACAGGGCACAGTGTCCCCAAATGTCCCCAAACTATCCCCAAATGTCCCCAAACAGCGTCACCGCCGTCTGCCGCACACTGCCTGG